CAATATATACATGTACACACTACTACTACACAATATATACATACATGTAGTTCTGATGAGTACACACAATACATGGCAACTGATGCTAAACACCTAACCTGCTCCTGAGCAATCCGAGCTCACCGCCTGCTGGCCAATCAGAGCTCAGTGTGGGGAGTTTAAAGCTATCCAGTCATATTACAGGATAAAGGAACTGGCGTCCCTACGGCTCCCAGTCCCTACTGACTTGAGTTACCGAGTTGATAACCAGCGTCGTAGGACCGCTTAGCGAGATCTCAAATAGGGCTTTCACACCATGGATGTATAATAAGAACTGGATACAGCGTGGGAGGCGGGGCCTCGTTCATTCCTATGAGAGTTGCTCATTGGCGCATGAAGACAAAATGGCCCAACTTTTGAGAGAGCGAAACGTCACGAAAGTATTCATATAATCATATAATCCGTTCTTATTTTGCGTCCATGGGTAAAGGTAATGTAGTACTGAACACGTCACATGAACGTGCCGGGCGGGTTAGATGCGCGTTCATAATGCCGAGGAAAATAACTCTCAGAATAACGTTATTAGCACATTTTACAACTTGAGGACCGAATGCTTTTAATAAGGGCTATACAAACATTCATACTGGGTAGTTTATTTAGTTTAAAAAAAAATATCCAATGATTTACAGACGTCTCTGTCGACTGATACGGAAGTGTAGTACCGCCGTTTGGCCACAACGAATATTTTCCTCAGAGTCCGGCGCACTTCCTGGGGGCTTGCTTCACACCAACGCGGTTCCCGTTCTAGCTCTCTGCTAGAGCTTTTCTGGTTCGGAACCGGTTTTTCTTTTCAGCCCCCGTTTTGTTCACACCGCCCAGAGCCCGACTGGTGCTGCCACTGCTGCGTCATGACGTCACCGTTTACGTCGCTGATTTTCTCCCCAACGGCGTTACGGTGTTACCGAATAACTTGTGGGACGAACAACTGGTGATATTCTATAACGGTATGCAGATGTATCAGGGGCGTGGCCTTTGTCGAATAACCAGGAAATACACATTTCGATCGCTTCTTCTGTCGTTTACATTCATCTTTTGGTATATTTGGCTGGATAGGAACACTTTGATGCACATTCAGTACCAGTGTGTGAGGTTGTGGTTGCGATGCCGATATCCAGACTCGTACAGCGATGACTACAAAAAGACACATGAGGTGACTGGGGATGTGTGTTCAAACCATTGCAAGCTTGAATAAATAATTTAAACCATTTATTTTTGCCAGACTTATTACTGAATATCATTCTTAATGTGATACCAAGTCCACCTGAGACCTGTGTATACCTTCAGACAGCCTACAAGTGAAGCTCACGTTGTTTACTCACAGTTTGAAAGCAGCGTAGAGAAGTCTTCAGCTGTGGACAGCTCCGCCCAGGATAACTTGTGATACGACTTCTGTGGCTTGTTCTTGTTGTCAATCTTATATTTGTATCATATATCGTTATTAATATGATGTCGAGTTGATTTGAGACTCGTTTATACTTTCATACAGTCTGTTAGTGAAACATACAGTCTGTCTGTGTTGTTTACACCCATCTCCAACGCAGCGTGGAGAGCTGTGGTTAACTGTGATCCGCTCAGATTAAACTGTGATACGACTTGTGTGGCTATCAGCCAGCGATCATGTTTAATATTAAAGACTGCACACATTGATCCCTTATCAAAACGGTATTCTGCACTTTGCTGCACTTATCCAGATGAAATGTGACTGTTTACTCGTTTTGCAGATAGAAGCAGAAATGTCATTGCTGCATGTGCAGGGATATTTAGAATTTAAAATGCTGCTTGATCGTTAATTTTGTTCTCGGCAAACAATATTATGAATCCTCTATTCAAAAATATTATTCAGTGTCCATCGACATGAAAATAACAAAAAAGTTCATGCTGGACTCAAACCCGAGTCCCAATAGCACAAATCCCTCGTTCCATGCGCGTTATGAGTGTGCCACGGATCAATACGATGTATTCTGTCAACACAGCTCATTTAGTCACATTAACATTGTTAAGAGTCAGAACAATTCAACCCGACCATCTTTTATAATGTGAGTGAATGTATGTACACTTTAAGCCAGTGGCTCTCAACTGGTCAGGCCTCGGGACGCACTTTTTCCTTTGTCAATAAATCGCTTTCTCAGTGGAGTCAGTGTTTGGTACTCCAACTTCTGGCGATTTTTAGAAATGCTAACATATAAACTACGCATTCTGGTACAAATGTATTACTACCCGACATATTAATAATATTTTATGCCATTGTTTGTCATCTTGCAGAGAGAAGAGCAAAGAGGAGAGAGTCTGTGTGACTTACTTTAAATTGTGGGTAAGGGTAGATAGCCCCCATTGTTCTGTGACCTGTCAATCATCAAACCGGGGGTCATATTTCATTATGTGTTCATTTGTATCTGAAGTTGTACCTATGGATGTATAAAGAGTAGTTCTACCGCAAAGTTATTCTCCGTGGGGACTTCTGGCAACAATCTTGATTCTGATTGGCCAGAAGACTCGAAAAAACATCAGCAAAGATGTTTTATTGAGAAAATTATCACTATAGCCGCTTTCACACCAAGTACTTTGGCGTACTTAGTTCCCAGCTCTTAGTTCCCCCATGGAACTAAGAGCTGATCGCGTTCACACCGGAATAAATGGGAGGGAAGATTAGGGAAATGAAGCCGCTGACGTCACTTCTTCTTCTTCTGCTTTGGGTTTACTGGCAGGCCGCAAAGCACTTCACGGCGTATACTGCCACCCGAAGTCCCCGGAGTTGGGGACTGGCTTCAGTAGAAGCTGCTGGGACTCCGTTGGTGCGCGGGGCTAATGCTAATAATGCTAATGCCAGCAAATACAATGGCAGCTTCAAAAAACTTTTCAGAGTTTTACGGGGCGTGGTTTGCAATTCGCCCAGCCAATCACAAATTGGTACTGTTTTCTCCCCAGGATAGTCCCACCTCTCTAGCAGGCACTACAAATGGGGGTAAAAGTTCTCTGAACTAAGTTCTCTTTTTGGTGTGAACGCAAAATTCCAGGCACTAACGGAACTAAACGGGAAAAGTACAGGGAAAAGTACTCCGGTGTGAAAGCGCCTATTGTGACAGAAGTTGTCAAAACTGTTAATGGTCTCCGGTACTTCCAGTCCAACGCCTACTGCATGCACAGCGTTAGAAAATCGGGCCTTCAAAATAAAAGTTTGACTTTTTTCCAAAAAAAAAAGATATATTTTCTTTTTTCAATATATGTTTCTTCACACACATCTCGAAACAGGTCCACCAGTTGAGAACCACTGCTTTAAGCCATATAATATAAATATTATAGTAGGCATTTGCTTGGAAATAGTATTTACTGACTGAGCATCATTAAGACCCACCGAGATCAGAGGCCTGTACTAAGACGCTGGTTCAACCTAACCTGGATATGTTTGAGTTAGCCGGTTGGCCCAATCCAAAACATACGCGCTCTCGCTAAACTGTACTACGACGCTGGTTATCAAGTGGATCGCTCAAGCCAGCCGTGTCCTATCTAGTTAGGTGCGCGTTCACATGAAAGGGGTGGTATTTGGAGCATTCGACCAATCACAAACATGGACAAGCATATTGACAGCGCAGCGTCATACTTCCTGAATGAAAAGTTAATTTAGTTTGAGACCCACTGAGATAACTTAGACTAAAATGAAACACAGAGAGTCCTTTACCTCCCTGAGCCTCTCAGTCTGACAGGAGAGCTCTCCTCCACCCTGGTTGTAGAAACATCTACTTCTAATATCCGTTAGCGCAGCTAGCACCAGATTCTAATAACAACGCCGGTACCGGTGCGCCCTCTCTCTCTCTCCCTCGCTCGCTCTCTCGCTCCCACGCTCGCACTTTGGCTGTGAGCTGCGGGCGCCTGATAAGCCAACATCCCCCACTTTCATCACTTACAGTGCCCATCGTACAGGGCAAATGAAAAGTGTAACCGGGGTGAAATGTACTTAATTAAGAATGTTGTTACATCAAGGCCGAAAATTAGGATGAGCGCCAACGGTTAAAAAAATTTTTTTCCCCCCCCAGAGCTACCAGCGCAGCGCCCCCCCCAGATCTGGCGCCCTATGCCAAAAATGTGCCCTGCCAGTTCATACAGTGGCAATGGGTAACACTTTACAATAAGGTACACAAAATGTGCTTAGTTACTGCTTAGTTACTGAGGAACTACTAGGTAGTTAATGGTTAGTTAATGAGTAGTTCCTCAGGGACTGCGATTGAGGAACTGATGGTTAGTTACTGGTAAACAGACTGGGGGTACTGCATTAACAAATCATTCGTTAATGGTTAGTTAATGAGTAGTTCCTCAGTGACTTCGATGGATGGTTAGTTAGTTACTGGTAAACAGACTGGGGGTACTGGGTAATGGGTAACTACTGTTTTTGTTTGCGTTCCTTGAGTTTACCGTACCCAAACGGCCTAAGTAATGGTAAGGTAAATAATGATGACTCAAGCAGTAAAACGTGAGTCGGATCCACCTCCACCAGTTGATCCAGTGTGGGACCCAAGCCAGCCGAAGATGGCAGGTTTAAAAGCGCCCTGCTGCAGCGGGCCATTGCTTCAATCAAAGTCTCCCATGAACTCCTCATTAAGTAACCATTAACGAATGATTCGTTAATACAGTACCCCCCAGTCTGTTTACCAGTAACTAACCATCAGTTCCTCAATCGCAGTCCCTGAGGAACTACTCATTAACTAACCATTAACTACCTAGTAGTTCCGCAGTAACTAAGCACATTTTGTGTACCTTATTGTAAAGTGTTACCGATGAGGGTGTATATATGATGTGTGTTGGTGTGTCTCTGATGCTTCAGCGTGTGTGTTTCAGTGCTGATGAGGACTCAGCTGACCTGAGATCAGACTCCTCAGTATTACCTGCTGTGCTGCCTTCACTGACCCTCTGTGAACCTCCTCACCTATAATCATATAATAATGTCTTCATAATAAACAGGAAGTTATAACAACAGTCTGATCCGTGTCTTCATCATCATCATCATCACATCAGATATTCAGACACAAAGAACAACAATATAAATAAAGGATTTATTATCATTTCTTTCTGCAAAAGCTGACACAAAATACTTTCCATCCAGCACATAGACTAGTCCAGTCTATAGTCTGATCCATTATACAGTCAGGTCCAGTCTATAGTCCGATCCATTCTACAGTATGGTCCAGTCTACAGTCAGGTCCAGTCTATAGTCTGATGCATTCTATAGTCTGATCCATTTTATAGTCAGGTCCAGTCTATAGTCTGATCCATTCTACAGTTCGGTCTATTGTCCGGTGCGGTCTATAGTGTGATCCAGTCCATAAAGAACAACATCATAAATAAAGGATTTATTAGAATTTCTTTCTGCAAAAGCTGACACAAAATACTTTCCATCAAGCACATAGACCGGTCCAGTCTATAGTCTGATCCATTATACAGTCAGGTCCAGTCTATAGTCCGATCCATTCTACAGTCCGGTCCAGTCTATAGTCTGATCCATTCTACAGTCAGGTCCAGTCTATAGTCCGATCCATTCTATAGTCAGGTCCAGTCTAAAGTCCGGTGTATAGTCCGGTGCGGTCTATAGTATGATCCAGTACATAGTCCGGTCCCAGGTACAGTCCGGTCTAAAGCCCGGTCTACAGTCCGATCCGGTCTATAGTCTGTTCCGGTTCTTAGTCCGGTCTATACTCCGGTGCTGACCCCTTCAGGACCAGAAGGAACCAGAACCTAAAGAGGCACAATGATGAGGAACCTACAGAGGAACTTGATCTAAAAAATAAATGTAATTAAAACAAAGAACTCGTTAACACTCAGTCTCCATGGCAACAGAAAAACAAAAACAACAACATCAGGTCTGTCCGGAGTCTCTGCCGCTCTGAGGTCACACAGGCAGCAGCCAATCAGAGCGCGACGGTACACTCCGAAGGCCACCAGGCTGAGGAAGATGGTGACTCCCACCAGCGAGGCGGTGGCCGGGGCCGTGAAGAACTGCCAGTACTGGATCTGGCAGTACCAGAGCACGGAGAGCATGAGAACCAGCAGAGGAACCATCAGGCTGCCCACGTTCAGGGCGGAGGGGGGCGTGTCCTGCTGGGGGGGCAGCAGGTGGTCTAGGGGGGTGCGGGTGGAGATCCAGGCCAGCAGCAGCACCAGCAGCAAGACGAAGAACAGCAGCGTCACCACGTCTCCCACGCCTTCAATCAACGCCATCGCCACGGCAACACCGGTGGGCTTAGCATCCACCGTCACTTCCTCTGCAGAACAACACTTTATTTGGCAAACGCTATTTGTGTTTGCAAAAGGTGCAGCGGGCTTCAAACACGTTCCCCTCCACTGGTTTCAACCAAGCCATAAATTCAGTTGAACTTACACTTCCCCATATTTATTTGTAAGTAGATTCGAAGATACCCGAGTTTCTGACTGCCGCTAGCTGAAGCTTGGTTGCTAGGTTACTAGCTGGGTGTTCTCCGAAAAGGGGCCGGGGGAAGCAAAGTTGGGGAAACAAAGTTAGTGGTTAGTGGTTACTGGTTCCGTGTTGATTTATTTCAATACAGATTGTTGGGGGGAACTGAAAGGCTCTTACCGTACTGGTTACTTTGCAGCCCGGACATTTCCCCCCAAAACACATTTAGACGCGATCGCAACACAGAAGTACCTTTCAAATCCCATCATTTTTAAGACCCTCTAAAATCATATTTAAGACCTTTCTTATTTTTTTGATCATATTTAAGACTTTTTAAGGCCTTGAATTCTGATTATCAAATGTAAGACTTTACGGGAACCCTGCTCAGAATCCTGACTTTAAAAATAATAATTCACTTTTGGTAAGGTCTAAAGAAAAACCCTCATCCTCTTCCGTAGAAGACAATTAGAAGTAGTTATTTCTGCAAGTCTAAAACATAACTGGAAATTGAACATGTTATGCAAGTTAAGTTTAATTTATTTCCACATTTATCAGATGTATTACATGCAGAGTAGGTTTTCTAAGTGAACAGAGTCTAAAATATTGTCTTAATATCAGCTTTTAGTCAACACATAGTTTAATGAATGTGATTCATGCACTTTTATCTCCACAAAGTTGTTGATTTTGCACTCGGGTTCTTAAAGCAGATTTACGGACAGTATTCAACACAGATTTGACTGAAAATGTAATTGAACTGCTCTCGAGTTAAAGTAAAGATTCCTCCACATCAACACGACTGCATCTCCTTCGCACACACAACACAGCTTCACTTGTTTCCACGTGTTAATGATGTCGTGCCACAGACCAGCGTTTCTGCAGCTGCACTGAAAGTCTTGTGTTCTGGATAAAAGCCGACATCCTAAAAATGTAAAGTCTGCCGTGGTCTAGAACATGATTTGTAATCTGAAGTGCGCCTGCAAGATGGTGTTGTTGCGCATTCCCATCTTCTGCATCCACTTGTTCTTCATCTTCTGAACGTACTGCATGTCCTTCTGCTTGTGGTTCACGGCGGCAAAGCCTGGGAGAGAAAGGGGAGCAGATTCATCAGTTATTACGGGGTATGATGAGAAGTGAACGCGATATTTTAATCTAGGGTTCTCTAAAACAAAAAGTGAACACTTCACGTAGATTATGGGTATCGCAGCAAACTTATATTGTACAAGGAAGGTTGAAAAGCTGTTAAAAAAACCTTCCTCGATTTAAAGAAACCCCATCATGCTTTTTAGGGTGTGTTCTATAGGTTTTAGTGCATGTCAATGGTCTGCAAAGGCTAAAATCCTTGCGTTCTCTCCAGAGCAGTGTTTCTCAGAGCGTGAGTGCCCCCTAGTGGTCTGTGAGTATATTGGTAACATTTCACATTTGAAATAAATTCATTAATTTAAGTTTTCCGCACTCTCGCGGGAATATCTCTGCAATGGAGCGAGCTTAAGTTTCACTTTTGATTGCATGATATAGCCCAGCGCAACACCTTCGTCACACATGTTGCCACTTGTTTGTACCATTTTCAGGCGATTTGTAATCTGTTCTAGAAAAACGATGTATTTTTTAGGATTTCAAGAAGCGTATAAAACAAACAATGGATGTCTTTTATAAACATGTATCCATGCTGGAAGTAGATTTAGATGTTTTAGGAGTGAGATAGAGATTATTATCTAATATATGCATCCGATGAAGCATTGCATGAAGTCTGTTGATGATCAGAGGCTGTTGTTGGGGCAGACCATGCAGGCCGACGGTCACCAAGGTTCATGTTTTAATAGCATCTTTACAAAAAAAGCCCAGACGAGCCTAACATGTGAAAAAATAGCTTCGACCTCAGAGAGTTAAACTTGGGCCTGCGACCATAGCTTTACTGTCTTTTGTTTTGGGAATCCACAGCGGAGGTTTGTGTCGTACTATGCGGTGTGTTTGCATTTCTCTCAGTAGTCAACGATCTGAGAGTCTGTTGGACATAAACTCCGTAATAAATGTAGTCTACTTTTCATAAGAGGTGTAAAACCTGTGAGCATTTTAAACCGCATTTTAACTAATTGCTTATATAATCTGTAGTTGTATTTGTATTGTTGATTTAATGTGTGAACGAGGCGATGCAGAGAAGGTTAAGCTGTCATTATTAGGCTGTTATTGTTGGAGTAGTAAGAAGGCCTATTATGTTTAGGGATATTTGGGGAGTGTTTTAGTATTGGTTAAGTGTCCTTGGTATGAACAAGTTTGAGAAACACTGCTCCAGAGGGATATTTCCCCACAGACTAAAATCCATCATTAAGTTAAAATATCAATTAAAAAAACACTAAGATTAAAAAAGTTGAAAATTGTGGCTTAAAACTTGATAAACATTCATTTGAAAGCACAAAATAAGGAGAATGCTGAGAGGGAACACATCCCTGCTACAGGTGATCAAATGAAACGCACCTTTACCTTGATTTCAATCACACATTTGACACGCAATGATTATAGTTCCCATTTTAAAAAGGGGAAACCTCACATTTTATTCCTGTTACTATTAAATCCAAGAAGAGATATTTCCAACTATAAATATTTGTATTCTTTCATATTGAATCTTCAATTGGACATTCCTTATATAATATTTTGTTTTTATATAAATATCGTTATATATTATTGAACATTGCAATCATAAACTTGCTATGTTTATAACAAATACAATTATTCATTTCTATTTTTACCCTTTTAATTCGTAAAACCCAATTCCCCTCAGAATAAATGAACTATTCTGGTTGATTCCTCTCGGTTTCTTTCTCTAACTGTTGACATATCAAATGATAATAAATAAATATATATATAAATATAGTGTTTAGTGGATGAGTCTCACCTCCGTCTCCTCCCCAGCCCAGAGCTCGGTACTGCTTCATGACTCGGCCCACGGCGTTCTTGTTGTGGCTCAGAACCAGAGCTTTCTGAGCGCCGAAACGCTGTTTGTAATACCTCATGAGGGAGCGGTGTCCGATCTTAGCGCCTGAGGAAACACACAGAGACACACGTTAACACAATATGGACTATCAAACACAAACAAGCAAGGAGAGGTGCAGGAATGAGTCCTCAAACCCTGAAATAAGGGAGAATTTTAGCACTTCCTGTCCCCTGTTCTGGAAGTCAATGGTTTTTCTGAATGTGTTTTTGGTTGTTAGCGTGAAATAAGGTCTGTGGTTAACACAAGCTGAAGAGATTTTAATTCAACGACATAAAATACATCAGTAAATCCCCTACTGGTGGATTTAAACACTGCGGTTGCTAACAAGAGTCTAAATGAGACGACTAAACGTCATCACGCCCAACATTAGCTGCCTTTAGCTTAGCGGTGGTGACGTGAAGTCATGCGACCGTGCTGTAGTTCCTTTATAGCCCAACATTAGCCACCTTTAGCTTAGCGGTGGTGACGTGAAGTCATGCGACCGTGCTGTAGTTCCTTTATAGCCCAACATTAGCCACCTTTAGCTTAGCGGTGGTGACGTGAAGTCATGCGACCGTGCTGTAGTTCCTTTA